AAACAAGGAACCTCACTTGGAACCCGGCAAACCACTCCTAAACGCAACCTGGTAACCCAAACCCCCCGTCCCAAAATAAGGGAGGGAAAACCGAAACATCCAAAGCTAATTTGACAAAAAATATCAACATACTCACAGCCGCTACGGCGGCGTTACCAAAAAGTGACTTGTCACTTGTCAGACCAGAGGATTCAAATGCAGCCATTGAAATACAGGTCCTTACGAAGGCTCACATACAGACATTCTCGAGAACACACATTCCCCCGGCCTATCCTAAACAAGGGAGCCTGCTTCATTTCTACGACCCTTAGTGCAGACGACCTGCACTTCCGAATAGCACCCGGACCCGGACGTATGATTTTTGGTATACAAGCTACTACTGGAAATGCTTGGTAATCCGAATGGACACCAGCCCCGCCCTACCCAGTGGGATGATGAAACGAACCCTGGCCACACTGGTCATACGATGTCTCTCCGAAAGATCTGGACCAACTAGTTCGCCAAATATGCGAACTGCACAAAAGGACCAAAAAAAAAAACTAGATTTGCTGGCCCACCCCGACGATCATTAGTTGCTTTTCCTCCCATCTAATTGACTTACCACTGTGAAATCCTTGGACCTGCAGTTGTTTGTTTCCGTGTTCGTGCATTCTCGGTTTCACGGTTCTATATAGAAAGTCAATGGCTCCTTTCACACGTTTAATTCATGACAAAGACCCACCCGGACCCACGCCAATACGGGGTAAGGGATGGAGTGGGCACGCGTCCAGGCTCGCCCGCAAGTGAGTGCATCCAAATGGGGTGGGTCTAGTCATCAAGAGTCTACATGTGAAAGCTAGTGGAAACCTATAAACAGGTGTTGGTAGATGGGTTCTTGAATGTTCTTAATGAATCCTTGTACCTATGATGATTCTTTAGAAGCACTGAGCTCACGCTGAAGTCAGATTTGCGAGTTTCCCCACCGAGCCCAACCTGTGGCAGGAGGGGCCAATGTGGAGTCCCCACCCACCAGTCCAAGATCTCGTGCGGCCGGCAGGTTTGAGTCATCCAGCGCGGTTTGTACCACATCCAGCTTTGAGGGGATTGCATTATCATATATATCGTCATACCTTATACACTCGATCCATCTATGATCATCTATCCCTATATAGAGTGTTTGGGCATGACTGTGGTTCAGACAGAGTTTCC